CCGATAACTGGCTTTGATCACCTCCTTTCATCTCCATACGCCAGTCAACAAATGCATCTGTTCCTAGAAAGAAAGGGGGAAAAAAATAAAACAGATTTCTCCGGTTTGCAGCGGAGGTGACTGCTAGTTTAAAGGTTTCTGAAAGTTCAAAGTTAGAGGGGGAAAAAAAAGCTTCACAGCAGATTTTTACTCCTCCTCTTCTCTCCTTATCTTTTTTTTTTTTTTGCCATCCCATGTTTTTACTGGCCTGCAGATTTGCAGGGAGTCAGTTCTGCAGATCCATAAATTGGGCATAACCAGGCAATCAGCCCAGCGTTCCTCCGTCGCACTTCATCCTAAAGCATTAATCGGCGAACAGAAACGACTCCGATCGTTTTTCACGGCGGTCCTCCCTGTCATCCCTTGTAAATCTCTTCGCTGCTATACCCTCCTTTATTTCAGCAATTTTTATTTATTCTTTTCCCCTTCTGTTTTCCTTTTCTCCCCCCCGCAATAAAGTTGCTTGTCTTTATCGGGGCTTCCTGCCTTGGCCCTGGGCCTCCGAGCAGGGCTCCCCGGGGGTCCCGGCGCACAGTTTTCCACTTACAGAGCAGACATAAAACAAAGGGGATTCTTGTGGCATCACACATGATCTCATCACTATTTGCGGCTCCGCTCCAGAACCTCACTTTGTTCAGATTTCACTTTGCAAGTGTTAGCTTGCGAATCTCCTTCGTCTCAGTCGAGTTCAGATGCATCTTTTATCTTGTTTTTGTAGATGATTGCCTGAAGTGAGATTGTTTATTATTATTATTTATTATTTTTGACAGCCTCTGTGTTAATTATACTCCAGTAAAGTGTTGATGATGGAGTCAGCTTCTCTCAAGTCTGCAGGATTTTGCTGGGGGGGCAGATTGTGTTCGGCTCCAGCAGCGTGAGGAAATGACAGGCTGTCTGTGGTTTCGCGGAGCAAGCTATTTTACTTCACTGTTTTACTGCAGCGTTTAAAACCTTCGCCTTTTCAAAGCCTTTCTCAGAGCGATCCAGTGTTGTTGTTGTTTTCTTTCTCTTTCTCTCCTTTATGTTGGCAAGAGTTTTGTCAGGCCTGAGTGCTGGGAGGAGAGGCAGTAAAGTCACAAGAAAAATTTAGGAAATTAAATCCTAATAGGTTTTGGAAGGGCTGCGGATCAGGGCAGCTGGACTCTCTAATAACACCACCGAACAACAGGAAGGCTTGAAATGACTTCAACTGGAAAACGACCTGGACGGACTTAATGTGTGTTAAAGCGAGAGGACCGAGCGGTCTGGTGTCAAGGTTTCTGCTGGGTTGTAAAAGGAAAAAAAAAAAAGGGTAACACTTTATTTGAAGGGGGGTGAATAAGACTGTCATGACACTTTCATAAACATGACATAACACCGGTCATGAACATGAATAAGTCTTCATGAATATTTATGACTGTTGTCATAAAGCGTCATTCAGTAAATTATGACACTTTTAATACAAAGTTGACATTATTCAAAATGTCTTTGTTATGACAACTTGACATTAACCAAGAAATCATTACTATTTAAACTTTACCTTTAATAACATAAAGTTATCTAATTTTTAAAGTGCAATCAGTAATACTTTTATAACAAATTTATATCAGTATTCACCCCCCTTCAAATAAAGTGTTACCAAAAAAAGTCTTTATTGGCACCTATAGTACAGACGTGTTAAAAACTGCACTGTAAATTAGTCTTTAAGTGCAGCTTCTTAATGTCAAACTGTAAAATGTCATAATATGCAAACTTCAATTTGGTTGCATTTTATTCACAATGAGGAATGTTTAGTTTTACTTTCAGTCAAGAGGCATCTCGTTTTTCTGATGCGACGGAAAGACAGAACAGTAGGGCCTTTTTCCTTACAAGCAACTGGTTGTAAACCAGGTTGGCATCCTGGTTTAAAGGATGAAATGGAAACTTGGGGACTTTTTTTTTTTTTTTTTTTTTACCATCACCATCCTGCTCACTGTCTGAGGTGCCAAGGTAAATGGATCCTTGTCCAGCTTAGAGACCAAAGGAAATGGGCCACTGTGGCATTATTATACAGGATTTCTATGCAATCTGGAGAAGTACAGAAAAGAAAATGGGAATCTGGAAAAATATTAGCTTTTCTAGAGTTAATTTCTTATTCTAATGTCCAAGAGCTCCTTCTTTCCTTCTGTGCCATTTCATTGCATCCTTTCGTATGTTCAGCCTTCTGTTACTCTGTCTCTCACTCCTTGCAGCAATGCACCGATTCGATATTAATACCAGCATCAGTCCCGATATCGGAAACAATTCTAAATCTGGTGTCAGTGACGATTTGCTTGATGTATTACATATTTTACATTATATGTAGAATTCCTAATTGTACTTTCTGGACCATTTGAAAGAGGGTTTCTTGCAGTTTATTTTTGTGTCTGTCAATCTATTGTTTTTGTCATTTTCAGTTTATTTTTTCATTGGTTTCTATACTAACACAATGGCACTGACTGAACAAATTAAAGTTGCACCAAAGGTGACTGAAGTTTTAAGTCAATTCAGCACTGTGTTTTTCTGTATCAGATCGGTATCGACCCATACTGTATTGGTATCGGAAATGAACCGATATGATACATTTCATTTCTTTGTGTCATTTATATTTTAAAAATTAACTGAAAAGTTTGACAGCTCTGCACTTTTTACATTATAAACATGAAGGAAACCTGTTTAACTTAATTAAAAAAATAAACAATTGGAAGCTGTGCCTTTCTAATAGGATCTCTGAGAAATTGAAGTCAATTTCAGAAACTAAATCTTTCAGCTACCGTCATCCTAATGCATAAATGTGAACAACATAACGGTTGGATTTTTCAGTGTGAGATGATGCAGCTGCATTAGAAGATGATTTTATTTTTAGGCTTTTGCGTGTTTACCTGGGGTGCCGGTAAATGTGGTTTCCACTGCGCTGCCTGGGTGGCAGAGAGAGGGCAGAGCCAGAGGCTCAGAGAAAACAAACCAACTCACCTCTAAGTATAGGAAATGAAAGGTTTATAAAATAAATGTAAGGATTAATTTAAAAATAATCAGAGAGAAATGAGCTGAAATGTCCTGCTTTGTTTGAACTCTCTCTCATTAAGCACATCTGTGATGCTTCGTGTCATTGATTTTAAAATTCCTTGTGAGAAGGCCCGCTCAGTTCTTCGACAGTTTCAGTTTTATAGCCTTTTTTTCCCCCTCCCTTTTTTCCTACACATTGAACGTAGACTTAAAGCTTGACCTCACCCACGCATGAATGTCTGCTTTTAACATCTGCATTTGATATTCGGCCTCTGAGACTCAGCTCTGAATGAACGCAGGCTTTTGTTGGAAACGAAACCAAACCAAAAAGAAAAAACAAAAACGCTGATGCAGTCCAGCTCCGGGGGAGCTCGGCGAGGTTTACTGGACGCTGCTGCTTCCAGACAGTCGCCATGCGTCACTGAGGGGCTACAGCCTGATTCAGCTGTTCAGGCCACGCCCCAAGTAAGCCGAGCTGGAGAAATGTTTAGCAGGAGGGCTCACACAAAGTCCCCCCCCCCCACCCCAAAATTATGTCACCGTCCCTGGCCCCTGGGACATCCTGTGGAGGGCCCGTGTTGGACCTGGGATCCCTTTGGACTGTATGTGTGGTCTCTGCCTTCCACCTGAAGGTCGAGCGGACTTCCAGCCTGGTTCTGAACCAGAAACAAATGAGTGTTTGCGTGTTGGTGGAATTTCCTCTGTTCATCTTCCAACGCCACGACGGCTCTTGTTTTTAATCAAGTTTACAAAAAACACACTTTCCCCAGCTACTGCTGCTTTGTAAGAGCATTATTAGGGCATTTATACACTTTTTATTAAAACAAAACAATCAATAAACATCTTAGCAACAGAGTCATTAAAGCTGTCATAAGTCATGACGGCTCAAACATTCTCCAGGCTCAGTTCAGATGTTTGCAGACATTTTTGTGTGTTGAGTAGACATGGGCAACTGTAATAATACCATTTACACTGAGATGTAACATGATCTGTTTGCTTTGATTTAAAGCAAATAAACTAAAAATATATTCCTACTGCTTCCGCTGTGATGTACGATGATACGTAAGGGAATAATGGGATTTTATATTTTGATATGTCAACTTAAAAAGAAACATTCACGAAATTTATTAGCATTTTCAAAGCAATCGTGCATTTCAGACAGAATATTAGGTATTTGTGCTGTACAGTTCTTTGTTGAAAATACGGAGAGTATAAAAAGTAGAGATGCATCAATCAGGATTTTTGGGGTTGATTTTGGTTTTCTGACGAGACTTTCCCACAGTATGGTGGCAACAGAGGCGACGTTGCACTGTGTGTGTGTGAGGACAGCAGTTTAAAAAGATTGCTTTTTTATGTTTTTTTTTTTGTTTTTTTTTTGGCACTAGTGGCCTTTTACTCATCAGTAGCTAGCATTGCTCACCTCATGTTTCTATGGAGTTTTTTCTGGCCTCTCATTAAACTTCACTTGTGCTTTTTCAAACCTGTAACTTTTCAAAATCTTGGTAGGGCTTGAAAATCGTCACCACTTAAACTTGAATTAGTTACTTTGAAGTCCCTGATTAGATTGTCCGGTTGTCGATATTTTTAGCTCTCAAACAAACCCTTTTTGTTTTGAATTGTGCCAAAATGTGTTCAGTTTGTGCTCTCCTGCCTGTTTCTGCAAGTTTTACGACGGTGTAATAAGAGCAGAGACATCTTTGCTGTATATTTAAAACAGACATGTTCCTGTATGACCTCACCTGTTTGTTTTTTGTTGCTGTTCCTCATTTATCCCTTTAAGTCTTCACTCATCTGTTCGGTCTCCTCCTCCTTCGCTTTCCTCCACTATCATGTCTTGGTCCTTCCATCTTCCAAAGCAAATCTTCCCACTGCGATGTGAATCGCATTAGCGGCATGCGTGCGTCCACAACAATCCCTTTGGCTCAGAACGTAATCTGGATTTCATTTGTTGTTTACAGGAGCTTTCTAGCTGTGGCTGGAACAAGAAGGAGAAGCACAGCTCCGCTCCGAATGTCGTAGCCTTCACCCGCAGGTTCAATCAGGTGAGACTCTAACATCCTCGGCGCTTGCAGCCAAGTTCAATCTGAAGTCCCCCAACCTCCCCCGCCCCTCCGCCCCTCCCAAAAAAAAAAAAGAGAGAGAAGGGGAAAGTCTTCCTCCCTGCGGTCATGGAGATTTATGAGTCTTGGCCATTGAGGTTTGAGGGGATGACAGCTCGTCTTTCCATCATGCCCTCCGTCTCCATCCTCCTGCTCTCAAGTCATCACCCCGGTTCTCCCAGATGTGCTTGTTTTTGAAGCTGTGTTTATCATGGCAGCTCTTTGGGTTCCCTGTGTCTTCTCCTCGCACGTGAAGTGCTCTTATGTGCATCACGAGTGGTCCCCAGGTGAAGCATGTCTGAAGGCAGACATCTTTTTATCCTCAGCTACTCGCATTTATA